AATTAAGAGAACTTCAGCAAGTGGGATTATTCCCATCGCGGATGCACGCAATTAAACGGGCACCGCCACCTTGCACCAGCACAGCTCAGCACACAGCAAGGGAGGCAAGCACCACCAACGCCAGCAGCAGCGGTGCACGCACCCACGAAGGGCGGCTGGTGCCATCCCCACCCCCTTCCGCATGCTGTGGCCTCATTGTACCTTTCTCGGATGCACTCGAATGCGAAGAAGGCTGAGTCTCACTTCCATGTTGAGCACCTCCTGTCGAAACGAGTGTCCCATCAGTTCCATCCACTACGGGAGTTCCAGCGGCACCCGATAGTGAAGGATCTGTAACCTCCTTATTTCTGTCTGTGTCGTCATTTTCCTTCCCGGGCAATTTTCTCAAAGATTCTGGCGTTGAGTTCTTCTGTGATTCACCAATAGAGTCCATAGTGCCACCAGTATCTGTCGAAGTGACATCAGCTGATGACTCCTTTAACGTCCCCTTCATAGGTGATGTCTCGTGAGTGTCTTCGGTGACGTGCTGCTGCTTTCTCAGGTTTTGCAATTCAGTCTGTAGTTTCAACGCAGTCTGTGACTTCTCCCGCGCAGCATCAAGAGCCGCCTTTCCACTGGCAATGTGTTGAAGGGCTGCATCGTATTCATTCTTCAGGCTCTCTGCAAAGGTCGCCATATTCTGAGCGGCCAACGTTGTTTCATCAGCACCATTCTTTGTATCGTTCGCGAGGCCGAGAGCCAAACGATTATAGCGCACTGCGTTATCAATAAACAACCAAGCATCGTATGAAGAACCAACATCACCGAGTGGCTTTAAGCGCACAGCGTGCGACGCTGCATTGGCCGCTTTTTTAATTTCATCACTCGCCCCCTTGGCGTGTAGAGACGACTGCTTTGCTTTTGAAGCAACCTCTTGGGCCTCCGCGGCAGTTTCTCTTGCTTTCTTTGCAGCCTCCACTGCGCTCTCAACTGCTTTTGTAAGCATCTTCACTGCCTCTTCAGTCTTTACTGCTACCTCAGAGTTTGTCGCGGCCGCAGAGGCTTCACTAGCCGCCTCCTTTGCTCTAGCTGTCACCTCTTGTGTTTGCTTCACAGCGGCCAGCGCCTTCTCCGCGGTCAAGTTGGCTCTGCTCTCTGCTTCCGTAGCCTTCTGCATCGCACTCAGAGCAGCCGTCATCGCAGCCTCTGCCAGAACCGCCTTCTGGTTGTTGCTTATGGTGCTCAAATACGCATCGTACTCCTTTTTCAGCACATCATAAGCCTTTGTAAGTTCGGCAAACGCGTTCCCAGCGTCCGTTCCTGCATTCTTGGCACTAGAAACAGCCTCGTTTGCGTCACTCAAAGCATCAATGGCTAAACTCGCTGCATTTTTAACTGCTTCAGCTGCCTCAACAAGCCGTTTTAAGGCCGTTCTCAGCTTTCTGCACACTTTCAGAACGATCAGCGTGGGTTTTTTTCTCAGTGTCACCGTTCACATTCTGCTGGACAACTTTGTTACCGCCACCACCACTAACCGCTTTCTCCGGCTCTGCAGCAGCCGTCACGCAGACACAAGCGCAGCACAGGGCAAGTACCAGCAGCACGGGGCGCACCATCATCACTCCTCCTGCTCGCATCATTACTGCTGCCTGAGAGTATCCTTCTTAGCAATGTATCACACAAACTGAGGGAAGAGGCACAAAGAAATTAAAGCAGGGGAGCAGCACCACAAGCACACAGCGGTGTTCGCTGAACCAATGCAAAGAAGAGCTGCAGCTTCCCACAAGATGTAAGTCTAAACCCCTACACACACACACACACACACCATCTCTCAACGAACAGCCTGCAACGCCAGTCTCCGCCTCGTGTGGCGCACCACGCGCAGCGCGGAAGGGAAGCCAGCCACTCTACCCCCGCAGCAAAAAAGGGAAAGAGTGATGCATCAATAATGGAAAAGAGGCACACTGGAATTATCAGCCGCAGTAGCTGCCGTACTCCACCTCCCACACACACACGAGGCCACTGGGAGACAGCCGAGGCCCCACAGTCCCTGCCGCGGCATCACAACACAAACAAGCAACCAAAGCGCCACGCACCACACGCCGTGCAGTCACCCAACGTCACCGCTACGGTCACCAATACACAGGCAGAGAATACAGCCGCCCCTACAGGGGCAGTCTGTGTGAGAGCAGCACCATCCCATCCACATGACTACGCCACCTCCGCCGAATAGAAATCGCCCACCCCCACACCTTCACACGCAAAGGAGGGACGCAATGATCAAGAACACATCCGCCGTGACGTCCGCGCGAGAGGAGAGTGTGTGGGCGCCACGCAGCAGCAGCAGCACCAACCAGCACAGCACAAATGAACCACACTCCGCATTGCAGAGCCCACTAGACCAACACAAAGGCAGCACAACACACTGCGCGTTAACGCAGCCACGCAATCACCCACGTACAAATCAAGTCGACGACGAAAGCAACGCTACAACACGCACACTCCGTCCTGCCCTCACCACGCCGCATCGCACACCGCCGCCCACGCTCACACCCGCTCGCTCAGCGGTGCGGCCACCTCCCCGTCACCTCCCACAGGGAAGGTGCGGGCATACTGACACACACACACACTACATAAGACACGCCAACTGCCACGATCGCTGCAGCAGCAGCAGCAGTGCGACGTCGAGGTCTAACAGGAACAAGCAGGGAGATGGGCAAACCGCGCAGGGTGCACGGCGCCGCAGCTGCATCCTCCCCGCTTAGGCTTGCTGAGCATCGGTGAGAGCAAGGAAGAGGCAGGCACAGTCAATCACACACACACACACACACACAAGTGCACAGCGGACAAAAGAACAGCGGCACGGCAACGCAACGCCACACAATGGAATCCAACCGGCGCATTGCCGCAGCAAGCAAGATGACCCACTTAACAAAAGAGAAAAGGATGTTGGGGGCAGCACAGAGCCCACCACAAACCAGAAACAAATTAAGAATACCCCACACAAAAAAAAAAGAAAAAGAAAAGTGAAGACATCCGTCCTACAACGTAAATAGGCACACACAGTGGCGTCAAACAATTCTTCAGAAACTCAGCGGCCGTGCCTGCTTGCCTCACTACGTGTCTGCCCACATCCCACCCTCAGCGTCATGTCTCTCCTCGGCGGGAGGGTGTAGGCAGCGCAGCGCACCACGCAGAAGACACACGCCCACGCAAGGAATCACTTATCAAACAGTGCACTACAGTGTGCAATGCAAAGCCATAGCAAGAAAAGAAAAGCATCTCTTTGCCCCTGAAAACATTTACCACAGTGCCCATCGTTGAGGGTCAATGAGTCGGAGCCCAGCCCACAACAGCAAAGCAATGGAATTTCCTTTAAAAGAGGGGTTTATATCATTTTGGAAAGCAGCCATACAGACTGAACGCAATTAAAACGGTGCCACACACCACAGAACACACAGACCAGCACTCTTTCCTTACCACACAGCGATGCTGCAGGACAGCACACACACAAGAACAAGCAGCGGGGCACACACCCACGCACTACTGCTGCTGCTGTCCGCATTCTTGTTCTTTATTAACTCTTTCGGGTCGACCTTTGGCACATCAGCACTCGCAGTCGTTGGGAGTTCTGTTGCTGGCGGATCAGTTTTACTTTCCTGCTGCCCCGTTGGGGGCTCACTGTGAATCTGCTTTTCTGTCAAGGTTTTTAATTCAGCCAGTAGTTGTTTCAACTCAGTCTGTGCCTGGCTCTGCGCGGCCTCGAGAGCCGCCTTTACTTTGCCAACACGGACATTGGCTGTTTCGCCTTCTTGCTTCGTCACTTCAGCAAGGTTCGCCAGCTTTTTGGCTTCCACTAGTAATTCATCAGCCGCATTTTTGGTACTCTTCACAAAAACCTGAGCAAAATAGATATCGTCCATTGTATATAGCAAACTCCTGTTGGCCATTTCGGCAGAAAGAAAACTCGGGGGAGGGCTGGAAAGAGCGGTTCGCGGGGCTAATTTGGCCAACTTTCGAAATTCATCGACCGCCTTTTTGGCATGCTGTGCTGACTCCCTTGCTTTTGCAAAAACGTCCTTCGCCTTCATGGCAGTATTGCTTGACTCCACTGCAACCGTCTCTGCACTCTTCACTGCAGCTTTCGTTGCACTCTCCACTGCTTTTGTAAACTCATCCGCTGCCTCCTTAGCCTTCGTTGCTGCTCCAGAGCCCGTCGCGGCAGCTGAGGCTTCTTGAACTGCCTTCTTCGCGTTCGCCAACGCCTCCTCTGCCTGCTTCACAAAAGAGAGCGCCTTTTCTGCCGTCGAGTTGGCTCTGACCTCCGCCTCTTTAGCCTTCCCCATCGAACTTACAGCAGCCGTCATTGCAGCCTCGGCAGTAGCAATCGCTTTCACCACTGCTGCATCGTTGGTCAAAATAGTGCCATGACCCTTTTTTAACTCAATCAACAGAAGATCATAAACCTTGCAAAGATGGGAAGACGCTTCTCCAGCATACTCCACTGCTTCTGTAGCGCTTCCTTCACACACTTTTGCGTCACTCAAACCTGAAATGACTAAATTAACTGCATTTTCCACAGCTTCAGCTGCCGTAGCAGAATTTTTGAGGGCTTTATCGACCTTTCGAATGGCTTCGGCTCTCTCCTCTTGGGCTCTTATCGCAGTGTCACCATTTGCTTTCTGCTGGGCAACTGTGGTACCGGAATTCTGGACAGCTGCCTTCCCCGGCTCTGCAGCAGCCGTCACGCAGACACAAGCGCAGCACAGGGCAAGTACCAGCAGCACGGGGCGCACCATCATCACTCCTCCTGCTCGCATCATTACTGCGGCCTGAGAGTATCCTTCTTAGCAATGTGTCACACAAACTGAGGGAAGAGGCACAAAGAAATTAAAGCAGGGGAGCAGCACCACAAGCACACAGCGGTGTTCGCTGAACCAATGCAAAGAAGAACTTCACCTGACCACAGGGTGCCACTCTACACCCATACACACACACACCATCTCTCAATGAAGAGCCTCCGGCTACGTACCGCAGTGATGCGCCAAGGAGTGTTGGGGCTCAGCGGTGCACTCCACCAGCCAAAGGAACGACACACTCCAACGTCGTATTCGGCAGTCGGCGTCCCCAGCAGGCACCGTCGTCAGCAGGGAGGGAGGCACAGAGGGCAGCGGC